AGTCACGAATACAAATACCTGCGAATTTTTGGTGTTCCCAGTTTAGTAGTCTTTCAAAGTAGATCAAACCTCTTTGTTTGGCTTCCCTGCTCTTTTTCTGAATGGAACTATAAAATTGGCAGGAACTTTTAGTACCAAATTGTTGTTAACGTTGATTTACAGCGTAGTATCCTATCTTATCCGTATCTTTTTGTTGAATATATTTTCTTGAAGACTTGGTGCACGAAATAAATGGTTGCTCTGTTGTTTTCGTGATTTTGGTTTGGAGTTTGTAAGATATAATTCCCTTCAATACAGAAAAAAATATGGGACAACAATCAAAATCTATCTCAAAATACTCGTAAAGTACCTACTTATTACTTAGACAAAGACAAAGTTTATATTCCTAAACGAAAAACTTGAATTTATTTCTAACATAACATAACATCACGCTTTTTATCCAAGAAAGGGTAGACAGAGGTCACTTAGAAGTAACACCCACTATTGCCATATACTGGGACAATTCCAGACTCCGTGCTACTACTGAGATTTTTTTTAAAACCCATTAATTCTTGTTCGACCCGGGAATCGTACCCGAGACCCCTTGCCCAGTCGCACTTGCGACCACTCGGCCAACGAGAACTTTGAAAAACTTCATACACCCGTTGTCATAAAGAAAATACCAAAGACACAAAAATATGGTTTATTTTTCGTCACAAATAACCTCGTGGGAATCGGTTCCAGAAATAGAAGAAAAAAACAATGTAATAAAAGTTCGTAGTAAAATCAAGTTTGGTGGTTACAAACGGTATCCGAAGTTGTTTGAACTAATTCAATCATGCTAGTGCGAGGCCTCCCTCAGGATCGAAAGTTTGTAAGCCACTTTATACCTTTATACTTCCTTAGTTTATGTGCGATTGATACAACTTGTTTTTGTGATTAATTGTTCTTTTATAGCTATATATACAATAGGGTTTTTTAAGGGGGGAAAATCATTGAATGACTGCTCCCGCCTTAGTGTCAGACTCTTACTGACTAAAAACCACCCCGTTCCTTCTCTTGCACGTCGAGCCGGAGCCCCGGTTACCCGTAAGGTTCTCCGCGACTCGATCATTAGACACGTATTTTTTATTTTCTTACAGAAACGAATACTTTCGACGATATATTGATTTGAAATGTCGCGTGACGTCACTTCTTTGTACATTTTATGCGTAGAAATGACGTTCTAGCCCTCACTCCTAAACTTTGATTCCTTTTTATCTAAGTATTGTTTTATTATTCAACAAAATAATGGAGGAAATGTAGGCCCTCATATAGCAATTTAAAGATTGGCGAGTAAAAGTGTTACTTTGTAAACTATTTACAAAAAGAAATATCATTTCATTTCATTACTTTTAGTTATATGACCCTTTGTCATGTTGTAATGTCTTGGATTTTAGTTTTAATGTTTATCAGTCACTTCAAATCTATTGTTACGAGGTACCTACTTTGTTCTATTTCAATTACGTCATAATTTTAACGAGACAATTAAATATTTCCCATTAAACAATGGATAACTGAACTTGTTTTTCTCGGTAGTCACCCTGTCAAGCAAGAAGTCTAACGAGTAATTTGCAGTTATCTTTAAGGCAATATATTCACCTTACAAAGTGACCATTGGCCGATTTTACCAAAGCCTGATAAATTTTATCAGATGAATAACTAGAACATTTGACAATTCTTCCATACTAAAAACTGTCACGTGTATTCCACAGTTAAATATTAACTGATGATTGTAAATTCGTCCCTAAAACAACTTACGTGGAGAAAAGGGGGTTTACCGACGACTACATTTTTATTTAATTATAACAAAACGTAGGTAAACACAAGAAAAACATGTAAGTTCCACTTTGTTATTTTCTTGCTAATAAGCCCTGTTCCTCCAGCCGTCAATCACATAAGTAATTGAATACATCCAATAGAATTTCCCACAATTCGAGCCCAAGGGAAATAGTTTTACCCTATCTGTGCAGGGGAACAAAGAAACATGGAGTAACGTTAATTGGAATCATTCTTATTTCTTGTGAAATAGGATGAATGTACCGGGACGAAATACTGATGGACGTTTTGATTGGACTAGTGATGGTTGATGGTAGTGATGGAAAGGTATGTTTCTCAATATAAAACGATATCACCATCATCATCACACGGAGAAGGTTTCATTAATGATGACTGCACGATTGGCGCGGTGGCTCGGTAACTGGCTGCCGCGCAACGTGTAGCGGGATCGATTCCCGCATGGAGAATTTTTTTGTGTGATCCACAAATTGTTGTTTCGAGTCTGGGAATATGTGATATTGTATGTTTGTAAACGCACCCACAATACAGGAGAAAATCCTAGAGTGGGGCAACGATTTTGTAAAAAAAATAATCGCCAGGTTTGCTACTTGCGGGTTGGCGATTTCAAACTTATAATCAGAAATTATAAGTTCAGGTTTCCTTGGGATGTTTTCCTTTATTGTTTGTCAGTGCTGTCTAAATAATCTTAGAAAGTACTTATAACTCGGAAAAGTCACATTGGTACTTGCTGTTGGTAGGTTTCGAAACCGCACCCTCATGCATGAGAAGCGGTCGCCTTAACCTCCGGGCCACCACAACATTGTATACTTAAGTAACAGTAAAATAGGTAGCACATGTATGTACCTAGTGTACCTACCATGTACCTAGTAATTAATTAGTTAAGAGCTTCCAGTAACACTTAAGATATTGTGAAATGATTTCACTTTTGTAAGTTTCTAGCGATTTCAGCATCGTCTGATTGGTATCATGTAGATCCTTAGATATCTCATTGACCTTCTTAATGCAAGCTGTTTTTCGCAGACTTCAAAAAATAGGTTCTACGTTTCACCTGGGCGAGTACTCTTGAAACCAATCTCAATGTCAATGTCAATGCAATTGCAATCCAATGAAAACTCAATAATTATTCAATATCAAAACCATACAACCTCTATTGTAGCTGTTAAAATAGGATTTAGAGTACGAAATATAAAGCCAAACTCAATAACATTAAGTTCAATAAATACCCACGCAATACGGATGCAATAGGCGCTAGTGTTGAACTCAAGAGTAGGAAATTTTACATTATCAATGTCGATCGATCGGAATTGGATTCAAGAGTAAACCCACTGTATGTATGTATATATGTATATTTGTGTAATGTACACCTCCTACACCTTCGGGGATAAAAGGCGTGATGTTATGTTATGGTATGTATATTTGTGCGCGATCATCTCGCTATTAGCTGCACCGATTTTGATGTGGTTTTCAGAAAAGTGTTTGTAACACTTGGGAGAAGGTTTTAGTGTATTAATTAACCGACTTCAAAAAAGAGAGGTCTTTTTAAACGTAATTTATAAAACAGTTACTGCTTATTAAGAGGATTTCTCATACAAGTCATGCATAGATTTAATTATGATACATATTTTTTTCTTTTTTTTATGGCATAAGCCGGTAAACGAACAGACGGATCACAACGGTAAGCAATCGGCGTCGCCCATGGACAACTGGAACACCAGAGGCGTTACAAGTGCGTTACCGGCTTTATGGGGATTAGGAGCTTGAGGATCGTTGAGGATTCAGGAATTGCGGAGATTGAGGAAGGGGAGGATAATTGGGCCTCCGGTAACCTCACTTACACGAGGAAACATAACGCAAGCGTTGCTTCACGTCGGTTTTCTGTGAGGCCGTGGTATCACTCCGGTCGAGCCGGCCCATTCGTGCAGAAGCATGGCTCTCCCACACTTTTAAAAATCTAGGTACTAAAAAATCAAAGTTACACTAACAACACCGACCCAACATATTACATATTATGTTATACATAGCACAAAAACCTTATTTCTAAATCCTTTTCCACATGCCATCGATTCTCGACATTGGGGCAAAAGTACGGATATCCGATAGCGGTTAATTTATTTACTCACAGTGCCCGGAGCAATTGACCCGGATATTCCCACACTGGGGAAGTTTTTGCCCCGGATATAACAAGGTTCTTGGGCAAAGATCTTGTAAAATGTACAAAAAAATGCTCATTGTTAAGATGTCCAGTTGTTTATTAGACAGTTAAGACTTGTTGCTTTTGAAATTCAGTACAATAGACAAACATAATTACCAATTATTACTACTACTACCTCGTTGGCCGAGTGGTCGCAAGTGTGACTGGGAAAGGGGTCTCAGGTTCCATTCCCGGGTCGGACAAAGTACGAATGGGTTTTTTTTTTAATCTCAGTGGTAGCACGGAGTCTGGAATTGTGTCCGGTATATGGCAATAGGTTCAATATTACATGGGACTCGTAACATAAATAGTGAAAAGTGAATTTTACATTGTATAGTGGAATTAAGTGCCGTAATGTGCACCTCTGCCTACCCCTTTGGGGATAAAGGGCGTGATGTTATGTTACTATTAACTACTTATTTGAGATTGTAATTTTTTGTTTCTATTATACTATATTAAACGGTAAGATTATAACATAATGTGAAGGAATTCGGTTGTAAAAAAATCAATTAAAAAATTCATTAACTAAAAATTATTTTTAACCTTAAACTGTCAAACACCAAGCGGTCACCGGTAACCGCGACCTATTGTTCTTTAATTGTGTCTATAAAACCGGTACTCGACGAGTTAAATTGTAAAAAATATATATTTACATATATAAGTAGTTACGTAATTATATTTATATGTGAAACAATACTAAATGACCATGAATGACGTATTTCCACGCAACGATAACACGTTTCCGATTCAGTAGCGCCATCTGTTTTTGAATAACTGAATTATAACTCTGTAGAGTTAAAAATACAAAAAAATATTTACGTTCTGTTCGTTGTTAAATTAAAAAGCGAAAAAAAAACAAAATGAAGTAACTTAAATTTTTTTATTTGCATAAATGTTAGGAACTGTGTAACTGTAAAATAGAAATAACAAAACCAACAGATTGTATTATTTATTTATCTGACCATAATAGCTTGAGAGTTTTCTCTTTTATTTAACTGCTTTGGCATGTATCATCGGCCCAAGCACGGAAGTCCATACCCTTGATTTTATCGCAACTAACCAATGGGTTCCTGAAACAAAAAAAGGATTATAATCAATATCAAAATAAAAACGAAAACTGATGAACACAAAATATATTCTAGATTGTGAAAAATAAAAATAAGAATTAGGAACTACGTCTAAAAACCGGCTCCAACCCCCTCTTATTTATAAAACCACATCATAACAGTCACATACACATGACACCCAGAACCAAAACAACAATTTGTGGATCACACAAAGAGTTGCTCCGGCAGTCGGTTATCCAGCCACTGCCCAACCGTGCCGTCATACCACATCAAAATTGGTTGAGCCAATTGCAAGAACATCGCGCATATATATACATACACACATAATATAGATCTTTTTTTTTAAGGGGGGAAAATCATCGAATGACTGCTCCTGCCTGGGTGAGGCGGGAGGGAGTGTCATACTCTTACTGACTAAAAACCACCCCGTTCCTTCTCCTGCACGTCGAGCCGGAGCCCCGGTAACCCGTTAGGTTCTCCGCGACATACATATAGATCTAACTGATCACCTCCTTCTTTTTTGAAGTCGGTTAGAAAGACTTACTTTGGTGAAATGTTATAGATGGCGTTTTTGGGGACTTCATAGATGCCGTCACCGACATCGCAGAGCACACGAGCTATAGACGCTTTCCTGATCTCCTTGAGTTGACCTGTAACAATGTAATCAACATTAACACCTAATTCAATGACACGATCTGATTTTTTTTACTTTATCGTGGCTTACTTTTTTGTATTGAAATTCAATTCTTAGTGTATTTTTGCTATGTGCTTTACTGAAACTACTATTCCATTAGAATTATCATGCACCAATAACTATAGCTTACGCACGGTTGGTTCACTAGAACCGGCTAATCAGAGTGTCGAACGCTCTCTATACTCTTACGTTACGAATGAATAAGAGTCTATTGAGTAAGAGACTTGCAACTGGCTGCGCACATCTCAATTTAGTACGAGTAAGCCGTTAATTTTAATTAATTTTATAGAGACAAAAAGGAGTTGTAAAGTTTATTATCAAAGCAAGGTGAACATACGAGTACAAATAAGAGTTAACCAGTAAAAAATACCAGATAAAATAGAGCTTAAATGATCACTTACCTCGGGTGAAGGCATCAGGCCTGTTTTGTCTTTCATACCAATGTCTGTCACTCTTCAGAGCCCTAAGGATATTGTCATTGAAGATACTGGCGAGGATAAGAGGAATGCGACCACCTTCCATCATCTTTTCAATCCAAAGACCAGCTAATAAGTCTACATCTCTCACATCACCGTACACTTGTTTCAATAGGTGAATTTTCTGAAATAGACATTGAATTGATAAATTGATAAAATTTTAAATACAAGTGACTTACTTATTTTTTTTATATACATATATATGTCATGCGTTTGGCCGTGATCTCACCTGGTGGTAAACTTGAAGCGGCCTTCGATGGAGCTCTTATATCTATGCCAACTTATAGCTTTCAAGCTACAACATATCCGAATCCTATTGCAGTTTATTCAGAAACATATTTTGTATGAAGATCATGAACACTATTCCAATGACAAATTACTCACTTAAGCTCAAAAAGATTAAAAACAGCACATAGCAACAAAGATCATATGTGTGGTAATGTCAGTCAAGATACTGTTAAATATCTAAAATACTAGGTCTTCATTAAATGATATAATTTAAAATACTCACGCCCGGTGGAATGAATGGAGCCAAATCGTCGAAGCATTTGATGTCGATGCCAGTGAAGTGTTTGATATAGTCGACGTAAGGAGCAATACCGAGGTTACGACCTTTGTTCAAATCTCCAGCTGGAGCGTCAAGGCTTAGTTGTACACCAGGGAAAGCGTGATGGGCCATCTACAAGAAAAAAAAACCAATTACTTTTAAAAGTTATTGGTATGCCCAGTGAGGCTCAATTACCCCCCCCCCCGTCTACCTCCCACCCCAGACTCCCCAATCCTCGAATCCCCACAATACTCAAATTCCTAATTCTCAAAAGGTCGTCAAAAGGCACTTATAATGGTGTTTCAGGTGTCCAAATGCTTACCATCATGTGATCCGTCTACTCGTTTACCAGATTATCCCATTAAAAATATGTTCTAGTCTTTTCTGCAATCCATCTTTGGTTCGTTATATGATTAGTTGGATAGATGAGTTTTGAAAATATTCAGAACAATAACTAAAGTTATTGATAATGGCAAGGTGCCTATAGTTTAACGTTATTATTTTCTACCAAAGCGTAAAAAAGAAAACATTTAAAATTCAAATTATTATAGTAAAAGCGGTACTTACATCGTAATCAACGGTGCTATCGTAAGCGCGGCATCCAGCTCTGATCATACTCTGAGTATAGTACTCAATGTTGTCACCTAGTGTTACCAGTCCGGTGTGGAAGGTAGCATTCAGTATTGGGTAGTCCTTGATAAAGTTACCATGTCTGTCATACAACCTAGAATAAAAAAGATATTACTCGTAATAATGTGAAAGAATTGTCTGTAGGCTTAACAGTCATAAAAAAGTATTGATTTTTGTACAGGCACAAAGCTTAAAATCAAGAACAGTCATAAAATAATTATGTCAAAAGTTCGTGGCATTTCAACCGGTTACGTTTACTTTAATTTGATTAGAAATTTAAAAAAACATACTTCGCGGTAGTGGGCTGCATCAAGTGGAACCAACGCATGGTGTAAGAAAATTCCAATGTTACTTCAGGAACCTCATCTTCATTATATAAGTCCCTGAATCCGTCACGTTTGTTTATAATACCAGCGTTAATGAGATTGTCGCGACCTGGTGGGTTAACACGTTTAATATTAGTATTCATTTCATATCTAAAAAGCATCTAAATAAAATATCTGCTTTCAACCTACCTTCAAGAAGTGGCAACCATTCGTATAAGAAAATTTGTAGATAATAAGCAATGTTGATGTCTTTAGCAACCGTGAACAGTTTTTCGTCACTCCAGCATGGGTTGAGTTCAGCTAGTTGGCTGGCTATGTAGTTGTGGTGACGTACAAACCAGATCACGTACAGTGTGTTTGGCAGCAAGTTGTTGAAGTCTGCAAAAAGTTATTAATTTCAATGTAACTATTAACCTCTTGTGTGTCGATATATGAAACCCAATAGAAAGCACAATGTGTCTAGATCTTTGTTCCAAAATTTCACAGGCTAGAGCACTTTTTAAAGCCCAACTAACATCTTATTATCGTTCATCAAGTTGGTCAAAAAACCTTTGGAAAACAAATCAATAAGTAGATTTCAAAGAGAAATGGTCTTTGCTTAGCAGTGGATACTTATGGGCTGTTGATGTAGTGTGAAATAGTTTTTATTAACTAACTTACAGTTGGCAAAGCATCTAGTTTCGTTGCCTTGGTTGTTAGGGCAGACTGCGTCTGGACTGCTAGGTGGGTACGCGTGACCATCTTCTATGTCTACTGCTAATTGTCCATTGACGAAAGATCTGACGGCTTTATCACCTTTGTTGTTCGCATTGTATAGTTGGGACAAATCAAACAAGGTAGTTGCCTTTTTCAGCTGTCAACAAAGTAAATGTGTGTTGAATACTACAGAACAAGAACAGCAGATGAGACTCCGTTTGTCTATAGTAATATTGTAGGAACTTTAATTAACTTTTTACAATACAAATCGTTGCAAGTAAATTTTAGGACAATCCATTAGCTTTGATGCTAATTATGAAGAGTTTTCGGCAACTTACAATGCCCTAACGACTCATAGGTTTTGAACAACACAATAAATAAAACTAGAGAATTTATTAAAAAAAATGTTTTGTGGAACTTACAGGAGCAGGCACAGTATCCTTAGTACACTTGTAAACCTGGTAAGTCAAAGGTCTGGTGCTGTTCATGCACTTGATGCCTGTAAACCTGTGCACAGGGTCGTCAGCAGTCAAGAAGTTGGGCGTACATTCATAGTCGTTCCAGTGTTCCTCCTCACAACAGTATGTGGTCTTAAGCAACATATTTTCTGAAAGTAATTATAGAATATATAAAAAGGCGTAATAATGTAAGATGAAACAGACAATGATGAAGAAAGTCCTTTCTTTCGTTTTAAACGTCTTTAGTTAAATGAAGAACTTGTATGTCTAATTCATCGTTTTATGGGCCTGATTCTTTCGCTTAGCAAAATCTTCTTCAAGATATTAAGAGGGAGGTTAATCTTCTAAAAATGTACTTTGAATCACAAAAAAATTTAGTAATTTGAAGAAAAAATACATAATTATCATTACATGTCTTTTACATACCAGCATCATGAACGGATCCAATGTCACTAAATAAGAATGTAGCGAAACCAGTATAGTGATGGTTGAAATCCAGATTGGATGATTTTCCTTCGTTAACCAGGTTGAGACGGACAGTTCTAGCTAGAGGCAGTTCATCACCAGATTGTGATAATCTTGCGAAGTATTCTGAAAAAAAAAATATTATGGGGAGTTACAACGACACAGAAAAATGTCAATAATAAAAAATTATACTTAGTTTTTTTCTGTCAGATATCGAAGACGATGCATTGCGCCAAATGTTCAAATTCGTTACATATTTTACTTGAAAAAGGATAACAGACATCCTCGCGGACGAAATGCAAAAGCATTTGAAATAAAATATAAGATTATGATTTGATAATTATAAAGTAAAAAAGTAATGACAATTAACAAATTTCTATTTCTTTAGACCTATTATAGTATTTAGATGTTTATAGTACACTAACCGTTATGGTAATGGGCAGGCAGTAACCTCTTCACCGGGGTGAAGTATGTTCCTTTTCCAGGTTTCTTCAGACTGACACATGATCCATCAGCACGCCTGGGTTCGTTAGCAGAGCAAGGTTGGATGTCGATGGTACAAGTACTAAAATAAATTAAATTCACAAATAAATATTGTGTGAAGGAAATATGACAGAAAATCGGAAAATTCCTCTTACTATACCAAAGTCAAGTGATTGTTATATGATATAGGTGATTATTATAAGCCTATTCGCAATGCCTTTAATTTTTCTTGGAATTTGGTTACAATTAATACATTCATACAAGTCAAGTCAAGTCAAGTCAAAATCATTTATTTCAATTAGACCAGGAAGGCACTTTTGAACGTCAACAACAAAAATTTAGAAGTGATGCTAGTTGCTCATTCCAAGGTGTAGATTCCTATGGAGAAGAACGAGCAAGAAACTCCACAGGTTACTCTTTTTCGATCGGGTTTATAATACAATTCGTTAGTTACATAGTTTTGTTGGTTCGATTGGTTACAATATGCTTACATTCAGATTGTACTGGTTAAAAGTGAATAAACAAAAAAATTATTCTTCACTTACTCAGTCACACCTTCGGTTTCATAGAACCTTAATTGTGTTGTGGATACGGGTTCAGCCGTATAATAATCGTAGACGACTCCATAGCTAGCTCCTACACACAATGATACTAAAATTAAACTAAGAAACGACATGTTCGACAGAAATCGCAGGACAAAGTATTTCTTGAACAACAATAGTATATATAGTTATCATTTATTGACTTCACAAATAAATGGAATTGAGGAAATTTAACTTTCAAATTATGTGTACATACAAATAATATGGTGTTATTTGATCAGAGGCAGATGTGAAATTTTTATTTTACTGTTTCGCTTGTCGAATGGTTTGCTTTTAACCGACTTCCCATAAAGGAAGAGGTTCACTATTTGCCTGTACCTATGTGTTTTTGTTGTTTGAGCTCTACAGACTCGGGTGCGAAGCCTTGTAATAATACATAGTTCTACATTAATCAGTATTATTATATATTATTACGCACTACACATACCATTAACATACACATTTTTCACATTTTAAGTAGGGTTACGAAAGATGTACCTACTCATAGGAGAACATTATTGACCGCACGGTTGGCGCGTTGGTTGCTGCGCAACGTGGAGCGGGTTCGATTCCCGCACGGAGCAACTCTTTATGTGATCCAAAATTGTTGTTCCGGGTCTGGGTGTATGTGTATGTGAACTTCTATGTTTGTAAACGTACCTGTTGTTAAGTGCGGGAGAGCTATGCTTCGGCACGAATGGGCGCACTCGACCGGAGTCCACGGCCTCACGGAAAACTGACGTATCACTCCAATCCCTCAATCTCTAACTATCCTCAAACTCCTAATCCCCAAAAGGTCGGTAACGCATTTGTAACGCCTCTGGTGTTCCGAGCGTCCATGGGCGACGTCGGTTGCTTACCATCAGGTGATCCGTTCACTCGTTTACCGGATTACACCCATAAAAAAAAACCCACGACACAGGAGAAAATCCCAGTGTGGGGTAACGATTTTCATAAAAAAAAAATTATGCGGTCCTCAAAAAGTGAGCAGAAGAACCTTCTTGTATGACCAGATGAATGCATGAATATGAGGGAACCTAAAAAAGTATGCAAAAATTATATTAGGAGACGCTCTGTAGTATATGCTTACGATCTATGGAACGAAGACATGGAAGACATGGATCTATGGAACAGAATACTACCGACCTGTTGAAGGCGTTTGGTACATGGGTCAACAATCGTTCGGGTCAACCAAATTTTTATTGGGAACAGAAGGACCACAGCACCACTAGCTGTCGAACATTTAAGAATACGTGACGTCACAGCCTTTACTAGTGGGAGTACTTATATAAACACTTTTATTATTCATTGTTACACAATATGTAAAATGGCCACACATGGCCTTTCAATAGACTCATTATGTTTTTTTTTTGCAATTTATAGTACTTTATGTGTAATCAACAGTATCATTTGCGACCCATACATTTGTTTTTATTATTTTGCTTCTATAAAACCTTCTTTACCCAAAAGAGCGTCCACCTCGCTGTTTTCATGTTGTACGGTCCAGAATTTTTTGTTTACTCGCGACATATTAGTTAAAATAAGTTTACTAATATGCCTAAACTGCCTTGTTGGCCGAGTGATCGCAAGTGCGACTATTGGGCAAGTGGTCTCGGGTTACACTGTACAATTTAACACCCACTTTTCACTATTTATGTTATGAGTCCCATATAATAGGAGTTGAGCCTATTGCCATATACCGAGCATAATTCGAGACTCCGTGTTACTACTGCGAATTTTTAAAAAAACCCTGTGGTACTTTGCCCGACCCGGGATTCGAACCCCACCGCACTATCTATATCGAGACCCCGAGGTATGTAAGAATCGTAGCCATTAGCGTTATATAGTCTCTGCTTACCCGGGAGACAGGCTTGGGAGACAGACGTGAGGTTATGCATATAATGTCTGTATATTTAAGTAGAACGAAATATATTTTAGTTCTATTCTGTCCAACAGGCATCGTCTGTCGCATCTTCTATCCTTATTATAATATAGCCTTTTATTCAGATCCTTAACTTACATTACATTACACTTAAATCTAAAAGCAACTTAAAGTTAAAAATTAATCTACTATTTGTTGTTTAGTGATCATTTGCAGATCTGTTTGCCAATCGGCAAAGGCCTCCTCCAACCTTTTCCATTCTGTCCTTACTTGAGGCACTCTGTTCCACGTCGCACCTGCCACCTCTTTGATGTCATCGTCTCATCGTTTCATCTATATCCTTATTACTTAAATTAAACTTCTTGTATCCTTAGTACTGAATTTAAAACCTCGAACAACAATTGGGTCGCCAAGTATATCTAACATTATAACAGATTTTCTATAAAACGCTGGTCCCTAAAATTTGGAACACAAACACCGAAATTGTATCTGGTTAAATTGTAATTCAGTTTTTGATATTATGGTGTTTATTTCTGACACCTGATTCAATAGCAATTCATTTCGAAGCAATCATAATATACCATAATAATAAAAGATCACAGTATGTTTGTTGCGTCCAAGTTTTTATAAAGCTAATGACAATTCAATGCTGGTTGTTTTTTCTTTTTTTTGGCTTACGGGTATAATTTTTTATAAGGGTGTTTAAAAAAATCTTAATAGTAACACGGAGTCTACAATAGTACCCGGTATATGACAATAGACTCACCCCTTATTACATGGGACTCATTACATAAATAGTGAAAAGTGGGTGTTACATTGTACACTAGCATTAAGTGTCGTAACGCCTTTTATCCCTGACGGGGTTGGTAGAGGGGCTCTACCAACCCCGTCAGGGATAAAAGGCGTGTTGTTATGTTATATGGGTCTATATAAGAAAGTTTGCCAAAATCTAGTCGATTGACAGGTGGACTACAGATCGTAATTTAAATAATTTAGGTTTGTCAAAGAGCTGCTTCATTTCTGTCAAATGCGTAGGTCTCATAATCGACTACGACACCCACGGTAATAGTTATTAGGAGTCATGGAACCACACAATGACAATTTTGAAGCGGACACAAGTGAAGAGCCAATACTAATATTAAAACTGAACAAACAAAGAAATTAATATAAGGCTCGTGAAGCAAAACCAGATGTAACTCACGTGCTTATTACAAGTGAGTTAAAACGATAGACTTTCATGTCATAGGCAAAAAATTAATTTAAAATTCAATAACTCAGTGTCATTGTTTGTAGGAACTCCAACCGTCGAGCAATCCCTCCATCAATTTAGTTATAAATGATAAAAATAATCCATCAGGCGTATAAATAATGCTAACCGCTTCAGTTAATACTCCTAACAAAAATAATAAAATGTTCCTAACAAAGATTTCATTTATTTCGAAAAAAAACAGCTTCTGTCGGCATTCTCGTCTCGAAATCAAGGGGGAATTGTAGCCTAATAAATAAAGTTGGCTGATACCACGACAAACTGTAAGCTCGTCTGATCCCTACAAACTCCTTAACTCCGGGTGCCACCTAATTAAATGATTACCCGCCTGTACCGGCTTTGGGAGTTTACTGCCACATTCTCTGACTGTACCTTTTTTGAGAATCGCCCGTTGCAAAGTTGAGTGTTTTATTAACTGTAATTAGTCATATTTGATTTAGGTATATTGTTGAATAACTCTAAATAATATTTAATTATTTGTAACACAGTGTATCACATACAACATGCTTAAAAGTTAACTATAATGGCGGGTTACTCCCGTGAACATATTGAGAAAAGCTCTACTAGTTTCGAATCACAGAGAGGTTCTTCCTCGTGAGCAGCGTGCGCGGTCGCGGCGACGTCGCGCAGCTCATTTTTTTTGTTTAATCGCGATTTAGGTAATTTAGTATGTGCCACGATAGTTATTATAAAAGCATGCTATATAGTTATTGATAAGAAGTAATGGACATGGTCTTCTGTAATAAAGACTGTGGGATGACGAACCATTAACAAGAAAGCTAGTTTATCAAAATACCTACATACTAGCCAAATAGATCTCTGATTGCAGTTTAAAATGTTTTTTAGAGAGCATGTTTTAACGTCTCCGTCAAATATTATATATGTAGTTAATTAATAGGCTCTTACAACAACCCCGGAAGGTGTGTAGGTTTTTTTTATGGAATAGGAGGCAAACGAGCTGACGGATCTCCTGATGGTAAGCGATCAGTGCCGCCCGCCGATGGACATCCGCAACACCAGAGGAGTCACAGGAGCGTTGCCGGCCTTTTAAAAAGGAATACGCTCTTTTGTGTAGGTGCTGACCAATAGGTAACCGTGTAGAAAATGAATTTTAGCATATTTTTTTTTTTCAATTTTCCAAAATAAAATTAGCCTATGTTACTCCTCAGTAGGTACATCAAAATGTCAATAAAAGTCTTGCAAAATCGGTCCAGCCATTCCATAGATTAGCCAGTACAGATACAGACAGTATCTTATGTAAATTATGCATGTAGTAAAAAGTAGACACAGCAGATATAAGAAACAGACACTCCAATTTTATTTATCTGTATAGATATCAACAAATTTATATTTCTATTTCTATTTCAAAGAACACCTCAATAATATGTACTTGACCTCACTAGCAATGACAATCTCAAACCAACACACCCTATATACCTCCAGTGATATATTTAAATATAAAAAAAAACATAAAACACAAAACAAAATAACGAAACCTGGGTAGTCTTAATACGAAATATTAATCTTCCTTTATTGCTAACTCGAAGTGGATATAAAAATATATATTTTTATCCGATCCTTGTAAGGGATAACAGTTCAGTGAACAGGAAGAATATTAGAATACGTGCATTCATTGTAAAGGTAGGAACGAATTGAAAAACAACGCTCAGATATTGTGTTCTTATTTTATTGTTAGAAATTGCTTCTTTTTGTACGTAGAAAGTTTTTTTTATTTTAGAATTGTGGTTCTTTTTCTAGAATTTTTGCCTTTAAATAAATGTAACTGTTTCGTTGGTCGAGTGGTCGAAAGGGCGACTGCTAGGCTAGTGGTCGCGGGTTGGATTCCTGGGTTGGGCAAATAATAATTGGGTTTTTAAAAAAATCTCAGTAGTAGCACTGAGTCCGGAATTATGCCCGGTATATGGCAGTTTACTCTCTCACCTTCT